TTCCCTCCGCACTTGCTTGTGTGTTCTCGCAGTGATGGGAGATGTTTTTCCCGTCAGCCTGCTTTGCCTTATTACTGGATCAGTGGAACAGATGAAGGCCAAAAATAAGTGGGGACTTTATTTAGTGGGAGCTGAGTATGTAACTGTATCCAGCGGTTTTATTTTAGGGGAGAGAGTTCATCCTAAACTCGATCCACAGTCAGAAGCTTGAAGTCAGAAGTTAGTTACATGCTTCAGTAAACATAGGCCTGGGGTCATGTGACTGATTTTAATGTCACAGTGGTTTAATATAAGAACTGATCTCTATCAGGCGTGAGCGACTTGCTGACTGACCAGATGGGCTCGATGCACTCTGGACAGGCTGAAAGGTGAGGAGTTGAAAGTGCAGAGACCACCCTCCTGTGGCATTTCACACTCAGCCATAGATTTAAGGGGTGGCAGAGGGGTGACTCAGGAATGTGAAACAAGTCAAGGGTGTGTCGTGTGCATTCACTGTCGAGAAGCCTTCTGTGCCAGGAGCATGGTGCAATCCATGTGTGCTTGTTTACACGTCCTACTGTTTGCAGGTGGTGCTTTACCCATTTTCTAAACTGAAAGTGCAAATAGGCCCCCTGAAGTGTAGTTAGACTACTATTTGAGAAGCACATGATATCATTGTGGTCAGCATTTGGTACACACTTCTAATGCTGTCTGAGGGATGTAAAACATAGTGTTTGGGTTGGAGAGCCAACTGCGGCAATTTGAAAGAGCAGGACTAATGAATATCAGCTGATGCTATACTGAAGTATTAGGAAAAAATTGTGCTAAGAACCTCCTGCTTGTGGCAACATGTTTTTTTTTCTTGTACAACTTCCATTACTTATATGCCAGTCCCATGTACTCAACTCTCGTTACTGTATAAACTGTGTTGTCAGGTATAGATATGTACATCAGCTTTATTAATTGGTACTGATTTCTTCTGTGAAGCTGCTTTGTTGTCTCCACTTAAATCAAATTGAACCAAATTAGGAAAACCCCGGACAAAAAAATAATTGTTTTTAGTAACAGCTGTCACTGTGGCAGAGTGACTGAATTAGCCAGGCTGTGAGGTATGTTTCTGTTTGCCCTGGAGTGTTGATTCACTTGAACTGCTGAAGTGAGCCTTTTCTTGCTGGCGCGCTAATCAGGTTTTCCTGGTTGATTATTTGATTTGGAAAGAACTCCTGGCCTGCTAAGTGTGTGTTTGTCAACACTTCGGCTCCACAACAATTCCCTAATGTGTAAAAGAGGACACAGACAGAGGTAGACATGAAGAGGAGATACAGAAGAAAGAAGAGAAAAAAAAGAAGACTTTTCGTTCCATGGTGAAAGTTTGATGTGTTCGCCAGAATTGACAAGCTGGAAAAATAATTTTTAGTTTCTACTTCATTCAACGCATTGTTAAATATGTTTAGCCTCAACAGTTTAGATGCTTAAAAAGACAACCTTAGTACCACGTTGATGCCGTTTTTAAGAAATTGCTTTTAAAAATATGTCATTTTTCCTTTTCGTGGTTTAATTTACATTCATGAAGCTCTTTCGGTTTCTTATTTCTGTCCTTTCTCACAAATACATTCCTCCAGACACTGTTAACTCTTTTTACCCTGTCTGGAACACACATGGTGCTGCGAATAAACATGCCCTGATATATGGACAGACACACACACACACACACACACACACACGCACACACACACACACGCGCACGCACGCGCACGCACTCACACAATGTGTTCTGCAGACACACAGACACATGCATGCACACACATGTGCAAGCACTGTCTGTGTTCCCTTCCACAGTGTGCAGACATGATCATAAAACAAGCAACACAGCCCACAAGACTGTTGATTCCTGTTACTCCACGTTTCTTTGAATCCTGAAAAATTGTGTCATTTATAGCCGCAGATCCATTCAGGCTTGGGCACATAATTACCTGTTAGCTTGTTACTAGCACGATTTATACTTTCATGTGGCTCTTAAGATCTAATGTGGCTTTTAAAGATGAACCCATTACTGGTTATTATGGGGGGGCCTCATGCTGTTCCCTGGTGCAACTTCCTTCCGAATACATTTCATGTGCTGCAACCAGTAGTTTTGAGCATTCTGTTGATTCCAGTGTGTCATGGCTTATGGTGAGAAAGCAGAGTCAGGAATTATCTCAAGAATGCCACATTTGTCAGTTCAAGTTTCAATTTTGGAAAAACACTATGTCCCTCTACGTTTTTATGCTTTGCTTTGAGGAGCCGTCATCCTTGTGGATCGTGTGCTGCCGTACACTCTACACCTCAAAAACCAACGCAGACACATTCCCAAAAGCCATGTGAATTACTGATCTGTTTAGTCATTCACACTAATTAATCCATCACTGAGCAGTTATAAAACACATTTGGAGGATGTGGTGGAGTGTCAACATACCTTAGGGTAGGGAGTTTTTGCTTCAAACAGCCTTACTAAGCCAGGGGGGAATTCTGTTTTAGAAGCCACAGTTTGAAATGTAATCATTGATTTATTGGTACCAATCAACAAACCATTTCCCCCATAATTCTACAAGACCATAACATGAGACTTCCTCGTGAAAATACAAGAACACTTTTAATAGATTTTTGGTTGGAAGTTTGAGACATATTTTTAAAGTCAAGCTATTTGTGAAGATCAAATCACCAATAAATTAGCAGTGCCAATGACGGGGTTATTTTTTCCCTGGGTCTTTTTATAGAAATTTCTTTCAATTTCTCAACTTAACTGGCTATAAACACTGCTTATGTAAACTCAGAGGGTAAATACATGAACATCAAGTGGTACGGTGACTTGTTTGAACGAGACAGTTTCACAAGCTGTATGGTTTTTCTCACAACGGCTAGTATATGATGCTTGGGCCTGCACTTTTTAGTGTAAGCTTGTGTATAACCTTGGAGTTTCCACTTATTAGTCTGAAACACTGTAAGTAAAAGAGAAATGCTCATAATAGGATTAAAACATTGGCACAGGCACTGAGGAGGGCTTTATGTTCACTGCTTGGTTTTACATATATGTATATACACTAAACATTCTTCTTCTATCCACAAAAACTAGGTATGTTGAAAGGGTTAGTTTAGGGTAATTGTGCATCTCCAAGCCTGTTTGGTCTTAAGTGGTAAGAAAAAGTCTAGTTTTGTTTACTCGTCAGAAAAACATTTTTCTCCTGTTTTTTTTTTTGTTTTTTTTTAGTTTAGCTGACATTTGGGATCCAGTGGGTCCTTATTGAGTTCAGTAGCACAGCCCTCTCAAGATAGAGGGTTTTTATTCACTTCAGAACAGTGAATCATTATTAAGATTTAAACTCCACCCTGCCTGCCTAGTATTTGCCTCTAGAGACTCGTCCTCTCACGTAGCCTGCTGTAAACACGGCATATTTCAGTTTTTCCACAGCTTGCTTCAACGAAGGTACCCCCATACCTCGACTTCTTTCACAACAGGGAACTGTCTCGGAAGTAGTGAGCGAGAGCGAACGAGAGGGAAATGCAAAAATGAGCCCAGGCTACCACTAAATCCATTAACAACAGTTCCCATGAACACAGATTCCACTGCTGATTCCAGCTCACCTTTTACCAATGCTGGAAATAAGCTGTGTTTAAAAATACTTCTGCAAACCAGTGTAGTTTAAGAATTGGCTTCAAAGAAAGTCAATATTTTGAAACCATGCACACATTTTTTGGTAGTGCTTGCTGACTGTTTTTCTCACTTGCGTATGTTTCCAGGGCCTGATTGTGACAAATTTCACTCGTTTTATTTTAGCTAGTTTTGGAACAGCACATGACAATTCCCAAGCTACACCCACTTTCTGTCCGTCCAGACACCAAACATTTTGTACTAAACATTGACACAGCGGTGTGTGACGCAAACCTGCAGGGAGGAAAGGGTCAGTAGCCAGCTGTGGTGGGGTTGAGGCTTGGCAGTTCCTGGGGTGAACGAGCAATGAAAGGCCTTGTTCTTTTCTGTTGCCTTCAACGGGCTGCCCTCCATCTGAGCTGGAGGCGTGGGCTTATGAGGGCAGTATGGTGGGAGTGTGTATGTGTGGGGGGGTGCCATCCTGCCGTCACGGAGTCTGCCAAGTACAACATTACAACAGTAGTGGGATTGTGTGGCCTGTGTGTTTGTTCTGTCCCTCTGAGGAGAAAAGGTCCTGCTCTCCTTTCCATCTTCCCCTTGTCTTTACCCAACATGCAACACTTTTCCTTCATCAAACATCTCGCCTGTCTGAGTGGGAACTAAGGTGCCAGCACTCACGGACACCCGGAGAGGACAGCTGCTGCTAGGTGCTCAGTGCCAACCAGATTAGCACGCATGAACCACTGCATTTGAAATGACATTTTTATTGCCATTTTTTTACCACACTGTAACAACTAAAAGCTGTTTTGTATGTATGAAATTAGCATGCTTTCACAGGTTTGTGTTATGTTTTAATTTGTAACGATTAAGTGTAATCGTGTTTCACTTAACATGTTGAAGTGTTTTTGTTTTGATATGTTGCTTAGATTGTCTTTTGCAAGCTTTAATTCAACATCTTGGCAGATTTGTAGGCCTTCATTTATCCTTTTTTGTTCATTTAATTCAGTATTCTTGCAACTCTTGTTTTCTGTGATAGGTAGTATAGGTGAAATGCAGTTTTTTTGCTGTTGTTGAAGCGATTGAGTAGATCAGGTTTTCCCTAAAAATATTTCCTTTAGAAAAAAGCCTGCAGACGGAAAATTAGAACACTATTAGCTGAAAACATAAGTGTCAAACTGGTTGGAGGCCAAAGCTTCAGATGAATCTCTAGCAGCCCTGCCAGAAATATCACAACACCCTCGACCTGCCATTTAAATTTCCTCCAAAAAAGGGTGGCCGACTGAAAGGGAATGGAAATGAAAAGAGTATTCATTTGTTCACACCTCTCGTCTGGAGCCCAAGGACTCACATCTGTTTTTATTCTGTTTTTCTATCTCTCTCTGTCATGTCTCAGCTCATTGGCTACAGTGAGAAGCCTGTCAACCTGCAGATGTTCATCGGAACAGCAGATGACCGTTACTTAAGGCCGCACGCGTTCTACCAGGTGCACCGGATCACCGGGAAAACTGTAGCGACAGCCAGCCAAGAAATTATGGTCTCCAGCACCAAAGTTCTTGAAATTCCTCTCCTTCCTGAAAACAACATGTCAGCCAGGTAGTTGTCAGAAGCACTTCAGGGTTACATTACTTAGTTATGAGCTTACCACCATGAAGGAAGCCCTGTCCAATGAAAAATAACCACGTTTATGATTATACATGGTTGTAATATCTTCCAAAGGGGATTTTATAGATTTTTCTTAATTTAAACCAACAGGAGGGTCAAGCGCAGAAGGAAAATTTGAGGGTTTCCCATGGAGCAGAGAAACAAACTTTAATAATATATTTATGATCCTGTAACACCAGAATGATTATATTTATATAAGATCTGGTTTCATTTACACTGGAATTCATAACAAGAGATTTGTTAGGATTTTTTTCATTTACAGTGATAATGAATGATATTCACAGGCAGTTTTAATTTGTGATTCAACAATGCCTCTCATTTCCAATCCCCTGCTAAGCTTGTGGTTGGTTTTATCACACATAGGCCTTTACTACTTAAATGTATTTTAGATTCCTGCCATCCCGGCGGTGCTGTATGGGGCCAACTATTTTCCCTTTACCTTGCAGTATTGACTGTGCTGGCATACTAAAGCTGCGGAACTCAGACATTGAGCTGCGGAAGGGGGAGACGGATATTGGACGGAAGAACACACGGGTCCGCGTGGTGTTCAGAGTGCACATCCCTCAACCCAACGGGAAGGTGCTTTCGCTGCAGGCTGCCTCCATTCCTGTGGAGTGCTGTGAGTGTTTACTTCCCAGCCTGAGTCTCACACGTAAAAATATTCGTTCAGAAAACCACAGACAGGATAAAGACACACGCATGGCACACAAACCATATCCACACACGCCTTTATTAGCAAGCTTGCAGTCTGGCGATTTCGAATGTTGATTTAATCTTCTGTTTGCTCTTATTGAAAGTCACTTTAGATAATAACATCTGATAAATGCTACAAATGTAAATGTGCTCAGTTGTGTCTGTGCCCTTCAAGCTTAACAGTCACTTAAGAAGCTACACACACACTCGTAGCACATACACAAACACACAAGAACAATACATTTGGCTTAGTTCTACCAGTTTTGTTAGTGAGTTGTTGAATCCATAGTCATTTCTGGCCTCATGTTATATTGAATTATATGATTTTACAAACTATTGTCCACTTACAGCACTTGAACACAGCTCAGAAAATGATCAACCTCTTTCTTTCTTCAACCATTTCTGCATCTCTCCCAGCCCAGCGTTCAGCTCAAGAACTGCCCCAGGTTGAGAAATCCAGCCTGACCAGCTGTCTGGTCAGCGGGGGAGAAGAGATGGTCATCACTGGCTCCAACTTCTTCCCAGAGTCCAAGGTCATCTTCCTGGAGAAAGGCCCTGGTAAGTGCTGTGTTCACACAGCAGCTTAGCCTTGAACTACTGCTGCAGAAAGAGCTCACGCCAAATGTGTGCAAAATTCTTTTATGGCTGTCTGACAGATTTGTCAAAAGACTTTGTCATTTTTATCCATACTTTGTAAGTCACAGCCCTAGTCTGGTTTCATAGCATTCTTTCACATTCCCCCCTAAAAGACAGTGTATTTTTTGCAGTAGTGCAAAGAAACCCAAAACATAATATGTTGTATTTTCCGTATTTCTACTACACATTGATTTTCTAAATTATTTCTAGAATATGAACTTTGTTGTTGCAACAAGACACTAACATATAGAAAAAATAAATATTTCTTACAAATGCATAAAATTACTCCTGACTTTGACTGGTTTTAAAATTGTTAATGTGTGTGCATCAGTTCTCAGATCACATCAGTCATTATTTAACATTTTGTGAAATGCTAAAAGTAAATGTTTTATTAAGTTTATGTGATGAACTCATGCTTCATATAGAGCAAACCCAATTAATGCATTTGATAAACCAGTGAGAGATCGTTATTGCTGCACTAGAAATTCCTTCTTGCACCACCTGTGTAGAGAGTTTGAGACCAGTATTTGTGGCTTTAAATGTTGCTTGTAGCAGTTTAATAAATACCTGGGCTGAAGAGATTACTTGGTAAACTCCCTTTGGTTTTCATCCTGCTTCTTTTAAGTCCTTGTCTTTTGTCTTGTTCTTTACCTCTGTTGCACATAACTCTATTATAAAAACACATGTAATAGCTGTTACTCGGGATGGAAATTTTAAATGGATGACAGTTGTTGAGCCAGTCTCTGCCTGCCCGAGGTACCTTTGTGATGTAGCGCAACAGAATCAAGTTCACACATGGCAGAAAGTTGAGTGGTGTTGTTTTTGTGCGTGAGAGCCATTCTCTAAGATTTTCAAAAAAAAAAAAAAAAAAAAAAGCTGCCTGGAGGAATGTGTTTATCTTTTTGAGGTGTATCAGGTGAAGCATGGCATAGAAAAGTAGCAAGAGGAAACCTTGCGCATCTTGCATAGGGAGTAAAGCTGGGTCCTATGGTGCACGAAGGCAGTCAACTGTGGAAGGAGACAGAAACAATATGAAAGGGGAGGGGAACGTGATGTTGATTAGGTTTGTGTAAATGATCCCCCTCATCATGACTAATCCGCCCGCTTTAGTGCAGAAAGGCACTGATTGGAGTAAGTATTGGAATGGAAGAAAAGGAAAAAAAGAGAGGCAGTGACAGATATTTTTCCACCATCTCTCATAATTGAAAGACAACAACATATTCAGGAAGAGCAGGAGAGACTGGTCTATTGTTTCATGTACACAGAGATTATGGGATGGTACTAAATGACTTTGCTACATATAGAAACAGATCCAAGCAGTTGTTCAAGTGAGAGCCTGTTAAAGCAAATAAATGTCAAGCTGTAATAACATTGTTTGGGTTTGCTATCTTTTGGTTTGCTTAGCTTTAGTGTGATTCCTGTTTTTGCTACCTTAATGCAGCCTTTACTATACTACACTGCCAAAGGCTTTGATCTTCATTTGTAAATCTTGTTTTAAATTCAGTTGTAGATGCCAATCGTATATATATATATATATTTACACACACACACACACACACACACACATATATATATGTATGTGTATATATATATATATATTTGAAAAGGGAAGACTAGTAAAGGGAAATTGTAGTAACTGAAGTGGGCCTCTAGTGACTGTATTTACACATAAACTACTACAAGAATGATTTTTTTCTTGGAGTGTTTGCATGCTAAATTGATGTATATTTTTACATAAAACCTTGACCTAAAATATTAGTACTTTGGAGTTTCTAGACTTCATCAAACACTGAAGTTAAAATAAGCCCATAATTGGTATAAGTCTTTCGGTTTTACAAGCATGAATGTTTACACAAGGGATTGGACTTTAAAGGCTGCAACACTGCCTACGTTGAATAGTGACTAATACAGCATGGGTACTACTGTGTTGTGTTAAAAAAGCTACACAACTGTGGCTTTTTACAAAGACATAAAGGCCCACGCTTGTAACATAAACAGTAATCACCTTCTTTATTTTTGTTCGATCTTCCGGCACAACGGGTGTACGGTCTTTTCCCTTCTGAGCAGGGTGCGTAAAGTGTTTCGATGATCCAAGTCATTGTCTTAGCGTGGTATGAGGTTCCTGTCTGTGCTTGTTGTCTGACAGAGCATGTGGGGCCCTTGCTCCTGCCTGTTGAATGTCAACAAGCTGCACTGCAATAATGCACTGCTGTCAGCTGCAAGACATTCAAGGTCATTTGCTCATTGGAAAAAAAATACTCTGTCATCAACAAGTTAAGCTCTTCCTTCACAATAGAGAGAATCTGTTTTGGGTTATGACTGTCTAATGTGCCAGTGGATTACGACTACTAAGGCTAATGTTCTGGTGAGGTCAGTGCAGGTAAATCACCTACTTAAAACTACAGTAGAGTGGATTTTGGTAAAACGTTGAATAGCCTAAATGTACCAGGGCTTACAGTCGAGTGCTTGCTTTGTTAGAATCTACATATAGGCCTGGCCTCTTTGCAGACATGTTGCAGATGCCTGGCAGTGGTATTTGAGGGAATCCTTTGGGTTTTGTGGAAGAGGCCATGCAGGTGCAGAGTGTACTTGCACCATGTGCGCGCCATAAAAAGGCAACTGCAAATAAATTTTCTTGAGCTAAGAGGCTATTCAGTAGTTTAGCTGTCTGAATTTTTATTCTTCTTGATGCTGCAATGATTGTGATTTCTTCCAACCACACAGGCAAGCCTGTCACTGTTTTCACCCCAACTGCTTCCCTTCGAGCAGCTGCCCCTAAGATGTCTGGCCAAATAATTAGATCCCTCATAGGAAAACTGGAAAGGATGTTTTCTAGCCAGAAACCTGGCAGTGTGTAAAGACATTTTAAAATAAATACAATTATTCCACTGCTTTCTCCATAATTTTAACCAGGCCAGACAAACAGCAGGATATTTGGACATTTGATTACTATTTAATAGCTGCTAAGATTTTCTCCATGGGGCTTCTGGGCCTTTAAAAACGACATAATTTAAAATGCTTTTGATTCCCTAGAACAAATTGAAATTGTGTGCTTTTTCTGAAGCCTCATGTGGTTCTTAAGCCCTGTCTGTCTGAGAAAGCACTGCACACTGACATCATTTAAGAAAATTGAAAGAGAGAGCTGCTCCAGATGGGGGAAAAATAGTTACAAATATTACACCATGCTGAAAAGATGTCTACATGAAAATGCAGCAGTCACTGGTGATCATGTCAGGCCTGGGTTTATAACTGATTCTGTATAAAGCAAAATTATTGTCCACTATTCTTAAAAAACAAAAAAAAACAAGTATTCTCTGTTGTCCTTGGCTCGACCAGCACTTGTAGTCTTTTCTGATGTATTGGTCTGATCAAATGTGACTTGTCTTCTTATAATGTCGAAACAATTCACATGTTCATCTGCATAAAAGTGAGACAGTTTGCAATACCATATTTTAAGCTTATGACACTAGAATTGTCACTGGTTTATCCGTGTCTTTTTTTTTTTTCTCTTAACCATTCCTTCTAGATGGACGACCACAGTGGGAAGTTGAGGCAAAAATAATCCGTGAGAAAACTCAAGGTGTAAGTAGATGCTTGTTTTCCTGTATGCATAAACTTCTACACTATTTGCATCTTGATTTGTAAATTGTGCTTTTTCCAGACAAATAGTGTATGCCAATAATGTCATGTTTTTGTAGTCGTGCATTGTGGTGGATGTCCCTCCCTACCATAGTAAGACTGTGAGCTCAGCTGTGCAGGTGCAGTTTTATGTCTGCAATGGAAAGCGGAAAAGGAGCCAATCGCAACGCTTCACTTACCTTTCAGGTGAGTTGAGAGGTGATTTTTAGAACACATTTGAGACCCTCGAGATGTGTTGTTTTGTTTGACGCTGAATGTCAGAAAATGACTACTCTTATGCTGTTTTTAGTCGTTACACTATTAGAGTCATTTCCACGCTGAGATACTCCCTGAGGCTTTACTTTGTGTCGCTATCTGCTGCTATGAATCTCCCAGTTAAATGACAAGAAGTTTGACTGACGGCAGAGACAACGTGCTCATCGTGCTGCACACTTCTCCACAGGGGCTTTGCTAACCTCGTTTCTCTCTTTCTCTCTCCAAAGAAAGCATTGCTGTGGTTTAGAGGGGACTCTTCCACTAACAATAACATTAACACCTGCCAACTGTATATTTTGTAAAGCCTCCTCAGACTCCCAAGCCAACCTTTTCTTTTCTCACATGCACTGCATTTGCATGGGGTTTTATGATACAAATCTTTTGCTATCCAGGAAACTTTTACAATATGTAGACCATGATCTGTGGTTTCATGCAATTCTTTTTTATTATAGCATCAAGGAAACTTAGTGTTCATAATATTTTGATCTTAAAGTCCCTTAATGTTTTTCATTAAAGTCAAATCCGTGCCTTGTTATTCGATATTGTTATTGTGTTTTTTTTTTTCCTTTAAAGCCAGTCAGACTGAAAACATTGTTGGCGGAATATAATGACATGTGAGCGTTTTGTGCAACACATCCAAACCCTAACTTTCACCGCAACAGTGTATTATATTGGTGTGTGTGCACGCCTGTGTATGCGTATAAGCGGCCTTGCCCATCCACCCACCCAGTGTTTCTGTTTGCAAGCACGCCCACTCGGCACAGGCAGTTCCTGTTTTCCCCCGTTGACAGATTAGAACAGCCAATCAGAGCAGAGTGGAATAACTCTACTCTGTCAGTCAAGCTGGGTCGCTAACACCACTAGTGTCACCACGGACACCGCCTGCTTTATTGTGGCAAAGAAGGAAAAAAACTCAGCCAATCAGTTGTGTTTCATGTTTCATCATGGGCTCTGCTGCAGAGGCCCTGTCCCATTTTAAGGATGAACTCTGAGAAAATTTGCAGAAACACTGACATGTATATTTTGAAAATGTGAACAAAAGGCCCTTTTCTTCCCTTCTGTTATTCTCTGAAATTGCTGCATTGTCAATCAGATTACAGATTTTCTTAAAGCTCACATAGTTAGACTCATTTTTTGTATTAAAGGTGGGGAAAAAAAAGAAAACTCCCTGACTTCAATTATACACAGCCTTGTTTAAATATAAAGTACATCACCCTTCTCTTACCCTTGATGTCCCCTGGCTCCATTTTCAGCCAGAATAAATCCCGTTTGGCTTTTCTGTGCCTCTTGCCTTTCAATCCCAGAGGCATGACAGGGTGAGTAGAGGGCACAGTCAGTGAACTCGTTTGTTCTGTTGGTCTGATCTGGGCTGGGGGGCATTCGGCTCCTCTTCCCACACAACATTTCACATGATGGCACCCAGACTGACAACATATGCTCTCCCTCTGATTCAGAGCTGGATAAAAATAAAACTCACTGTCACAAGGCACCAGATTGGGAAATAGGTTACCGATTGGCATAGCACTGCTCTAAGCTGTCACAGTAAAAGGGAATGGCCCCATTTACTATGAAAATGTCACTCTGTTTTTGGGAGGCTTTTTTAATCAGGGAGGAGACCTATTTCAGAATCCATACATTTCAGAGATTGTGTTTACTTCTTTCAGAGTCTTTTACCGTATTTCTTTTCCGGTTTTAGTGAACATATTTTAGCTTTAAAGTCACAGATTGATCGACTTCATGGGGGTTGAGAATGTGGAAAAACTTGAAACAGCTACTCCCTTTTTTTAGCAAGTTGAAGTCTCTGGACTTCTGTGCCTGAAGCAAAAATAGCAGCAACGCTGTCGATGTTGTGCAATGCCGTGACATGACAAATTTATGGATTACGTGTCTTTTACCACTTGTGTTGTAGTATTTGATTCATAGACATAACTAATGATGTGTTTTTCTTCTTTTGTCACCTCTCTCTCTCCCTCTCTTTATATACCTCTCTCCCTTCAGTGATGGTTAAACAGGAGCACAGAGACGAGCTGGACCTTACTGCTGTACCCCCCATTTCCATGCCCCTGGCACATGCTGCCAGTCTGGTGCGCACCCAGCTGCCTTCTCCTGAGCAGGGCCACCCATCGGAAAACCTTCTGTCCAGCTCCCCTCACGGCCTGGGCACAGGCTCCGGACCTGGCCTGCTACCCCTGCAGGCCCCCTGCTCCTCCCTGGGCTCCCCGTCTTTCCAGCACCTGCCTCACCTCCAGGGTCGCAGTTTGCACCACCCCCCTGCAGACTGCCACATGACGTTCCACTCGAGCTCTGCTCCTGCTCCTCTTGCTGCCCCTCCCCGGCCCTCCTACCAGCCTATGCAACACAGCCACAGTCACGGCCTGTCCTTTAACGGCCAGCCCAGCCTTCCTCCTCAGGGCTATGAGAGAATGCCCTTTCAGCAGAGCCCCAGTGCAGCATCACACCCAATGGGCATGGGAATGGTGTACCCCTCCTCCCCTTGTTCCTCGCCGTCTGGTCCCTCCTCCGCAACCACCAATCCCATTGTTGGATCCCCTCAGAGCCAGCAGCCCCTGCTCACCCCCTCATCCCCACATCTCCACACACTCGGAGGCTATCACTGCTCTCCAAATCCCACCCAGGTGCCCTCTCCAGGTGGGCACCCCCTTGCCGGGCAGCACTCCTCCCAGCTGCAGAGGGCCATGGGCTACCACCCAGTAAGTCAAAGGTCAGCTTCCTGTCCCACACCATCCAGCGCCCCTCCACCACGGATGATCCCCTCTCCCCACTCTGGGCCTTCTTCTCCCCAACTCCACTCCCTGCCCTACCAGTCTCCCACCTCATCCTCCCCAACCTCAGGTGGCAGTCCTTTGGGGGCCATGCAACAGCAGCATTCAGGACAGCTATCTCCCCAGGCTACAAGCCCAGTCATGACCAGCTTGTCCCCGGCAGCAGTGGGGCCTCTTGTTCATCCTCTAAGCCCTCAAGGGCCTTTTCCCTCAGACGGAGAGAGGCTGAACATCAAACAGGAGCCAGAAGACAGGGAGCCCACCTTCCGCTCCATCGGCCTGCAGGACATCACGTTGGATGATGGTGAGATATACGTTGTCATATTTACCACAAAGCATCTATTATACTGTTTTCATCTACCTTTTTTTTACCGTGAGTCAGTGTCCACCTGGTGTCTCTATCGCACAGTTAAACACTTGGATGCTTTAGAAGCAATAAGGACTGATTCAGAGCAAGCTGCCTTCACTACTTTGATTGTCAGTCCATAAAAAAATGACAAAGATTAGCAGGTTATGAAAAGTTGAATGTATTTACATTTGACTCTTTATGCAGTGACACAGAACAGGCAAGACCATCAGAAATAGATGGCCACCATCATTCCATCAACCTTTCACTTTGTTTTCTAGTGTTACTTTCCTTATTTAGGTCTGTCTTGCTCTGTGTGTAACTGTAAATCTCTGACTCTCATTCTTCTGTTTTCTGTCAGTCCGGTCTTGTGCACTCATTATCACATTTTCCTCTCTCACCCCGTCCTTTAACACGAGATATTTAAAGCACAACCATCTGTGATCAATCTCATTTTCGGTCTGAAACAAGGGACCGCTGGGGGATTAAATTTACCCTACAATATGTGACGCACAAGATAAATTTGTATCTGATGATGTAAAACAATACAGGGCACCAGTTGTTGTATTTTGAAGGGGCTGAAACCTTGATGCCTGATAACAGTGATAGCGTTTCATCTGTCATTGCAGCGCGCACTTGTGTACACAGGTTCATTACAGAGGGGTCCTGTGACTTAGTATTGGGTAACATAGACACAATAGGACTGATAACTGTAGTATCATATTAAAGGCCTAATTGTGAACTGCTAAGCTTTTGTATCTCTGGCAGCAGTTTGGAGATTAATTACACTTTGAATTTTTTTGGCTTCTTGGAATTGGTAAGAGCGAGAGGATTGCATCATTTTGTGCTACTTGCAAAGAGCGTAGCTGGAACTCAGAGCGTACCGTTGTGTGCTGCTGCAATAATTACATCCTGTGTGTGCTTGCGTTTATGTGTGCGTGTGTGTGTGTACTGACGTTAAAAAGTCTAATTAGAATGCTCAGGAGAACTTGTTGACTTAACGATTGACCATGAAGTCAGCGCGTGCATCAGCACCTTTTTTCTCTCATCCATGAACTTCTTTACCTAAAATATGGTAATCCAAACTGTTCTAAATCATCCACCTCCTTATCTGCCATTCAGAGCCTCGCCTGGTTTTGTTAACCTCAGTGCCATATTCAGATGAGAGTCCTAAAGATTTAGGGTTAATGAGTAGCCTGGTGAAGCTGTGTCAGGGAGGTGCGATATTGTGTGTTAGCAAGGGTCAGCCTAATTAACACTGTCAATAAGTCATGTGTAAAAGACTAACAGCCACTGGGGTTCATCAGTGCATAACACTTAAGAACACACATACTCAGTCACCCTTTTCACAGCCTAATTTGTATGCACCCATGAAATCTGTTTATCCAGAAATTTTTCACATGGAGCTGTAACTCAGATGTATTCAGCCTGTCCCTGCTGTCGCACAAGCATAGAGACACAGCCAATCTGAAAGTAGCTGCCTGCACTCATTCTCCTACAAAAAGTGTGAGAAAAGTTTGTGAGTGACACGGTTCAGCCGGGAATGTAAGCTCTCCCTCTGAGCCTGTGGCTAAAAATAGCTTTCTGTGCCAGCCCAGCTCTGTAGGCCATGTTTTGAAGTAGCAACGTGGAGTTTCACCCAGCTCTGAGTTTTAGGAGGTCGCAGCACACTCTCCAAAGTAGACCACATTCACCCCAGTCTGGCAGACAGACTGGTGAGGATGGACACAACTGCAAACATATGTGAATATAGAGCACTGTACGTGCACAAAAGTCACAAAGCATAATGTTACACCAGTACGCTGTCTGTTAAAACCCAGAATTAATGTTTTGCATTGTAGTTGAAATTGATGTCATCAGTAGGTTTTTGACATTTGAGATTGAGGTTGCATCATCTTCCTCTCTTCATCTCTATCATCTTCCGTCATCCTGCATTGTATTTCTTTTGAAACAATGTGTTTCTGCTTGATCTCACCCTGTATGTTCATCATACATGAAATGAACTCCTGCAGTAGTATCACAGACTAGTTTGAGTGGTATGAGAGCGAATATGAGTGTGTAGAAAACTGCTCTGGTTAGCAAGCAGATGGCCCTTGTGACGCACACCAGAGCATGCTTGAGATGTGTGTCTTGGTGTGTGTGTAAGAGAGAGAGGGTGTATTGTGTTTGTGTGTGTCTGTTTGATGTTGTCGAGGTGTGAGTGTATGCGTATACTGTATGTGTGTGTTCGCGTGCAGAGCAGGAGACACGGGAGGTGAGAAGACAGACTGACAGACAGATGGACAGACAAGTTCAGGATCCAACCCCACTGCTGGGTCACTCAGCCGAGACATTCAATCTGAAATGTACTTGGCATCTGACATTAAAGTGTATTCAGGACAATTTAATGTTTTTCACAGTGTAGAATTCAGATTAGAATTTTCTATTTCACTAAAAGCAGTGGTGCCGTTATGGAAAATTTGCACTTAATGAAAAAGAGAAAACATACATAATGCCATCTTTGAAAATACAGCAGATTTACAGAAATCTATGCTTTATTTTTATTAGACCTTACAATGAAAAAAAGGAAAAGAAGAGATGATGAACCAGAAAAGCAAAGACGGGACTTTTCAACAAAGCAGCGTGGGACATACCTCAATGTCGCTAAAATGTGCAGCTTTGTATATTTCTACTGCTTTGATGTCTGAATCAAAACAGAACAGCGTCTGGTTGGGTGGTGCCTTCATGAAAAATGATCAAAGACAGGTTTTTCATGGTCAGTGTTTGGCACATTTGGCAGAGAGAGCAATCAGAACTTTAACCAAAATACTAAATAGAAGCCCTGATTAGAGGATCTAGGATAGTCATGTGCAGCATAGATTATTGGCAGAACTGGAATATTACTGTTGTATTTCATGAAATTATTAAGATCTATCCCCAGTGTGACTTTCAACCAGTTTTTCCCAAACATCTGTAAACTTATGTATTTCAGTGTCCATAAACACAATAGTTATTTGAATAACGAGTGCTCCTGTGACATTGAGTAAAGTCACTGTGACATAATCTGAAGCTGTTGAGCTGCCAACTTGTGCATTTAACTAATTAATCAGCATGTGACTTGTGTCTTTATGATTGCAAAGCATGCATGGGAAAGGATAGCGCGTGTGTGATTGTCTGTGTAGGCGCATAAGTGGTTACTGTAGTGTCGGCAGTCTGCGCAGCATGTGTCCACAACAAAAGCTGGTCTTTTGTTGGTCCTGCCCTTCCCAAACGCATAGCTGCCTCAAACTGTGAGCGCTGCTTTGAGGGTTAATAATAGGCCGAGTCCTGCTGCCTGCACTCCTTGAGAGAGACACTGACTCAGATGTACACACAGACGCACATTATCCTGTAGATGCAATCAAAAACACAAGACATCTTTTAAATATATGTTTTTATTGTTCTGTTTTTCTGTCTTTACAAGGACTGCATTGAAATAGACAGCAGCTGTTGCTAAAATCGTGCAGCGCATGCATATTGTGCTACACAATAGCTCTTAATCTGCTCTTGACTTGTTTATTTCACTGGTTTATACGAGTTACCTTGTTACTCAAAAGCCTTGCATGCATGCACTGTTCATTTTCTGATTTCAAATATTCACTAAGCAGCATTTTTAAACAACAACTTTTCCCTTTCAATTTTGAGACTACTTAGATGACAGGATCAAGATTACTCATTTCTTTTCTGTAAAATATGACAATGCAGTCAGCAGTCAGTTGGGCTAGCTTAGCTTAGCGTCGTGTACGTACTGGAAATAGGTTGGCGGAACAGCTAACCTGCCTTTGCTTTAATGTGGCAGGTTCCACCCACGACCTCAGGAGTATGTCTTGTTAGTTTAAGCCATACAAAACATGACACATTGTGCTTTCACTGGGGATGTGTACCGGATCATTTCTTGGTCGGAAGCAGCTATTTCACGAAACCTCCGCTGACTGCATTTCCAAAACTGTAACAGCAACATGTTTTAGTTCCTTAGTCAGCTCTAACTGTACTACTGGTGCCACGCTGGCAGGAGGATTTTGTAACCTACAGAGAGAATAAAAAGAAATGTTTCCCCATTTCCAGTATTTTGACGTTATCATCTGCTGGTATGGGTTTTCTCATGCTGTTGTTACAAATCAAAACTAGTCATTCTTTGTAATGAGAAAATTTTGAGAAAATGAAATTCAAAAGCAAAACTCTTGTCTGTTTAGTTTTAGATAAGAAGTCTTCATTTATTCTTAAAGCAATAATGCCAAAAGTTCCCGCTTTCGTATCTGCTGTTTTTCCTGCTCTTTAAAGGTAACATCTACAATTCTGGAGTGTTGATCTTTATCTAGTTTCTTTAATATCTGGACAGTTAGCACATGTCAGATTTGAAAAGTTAGCAGACCGTGATGAGATATTCACAGAATTTGACCCCCCCCCAAAAAAGTCTTGAATTTAAATCGCATGCTCTAATTTTAAATACTATTCACTTTTTAGACAGCTGCTCTTTTCTTCTAATCTGATGTAGGCTCCTGGGATGCTGCAAAAAAAAGCTGGGAGCTCTAAAACACGTAAAGCAAGTGTCAAGTGAGTGGCCAACATCTAGCTGTTCAAAATAACTTGAATGTTTTTGTCAGTAGTTGGCCCACCAGACCAGGAGTAGAAAACACAAGTGAATATTGGCTTTACCTTTGACAGGTAGCAAGAAGTCTAACTCCAAATGTATCCCAAATAAAATTAAACATGAAATTCAACTTGGAAAAAGCCTTTCGTATTTTGCTCCATTTGTAAGTGATCTTGCGTCACCTTTTTTTACCCTTTGGAAAGGTCTAAAAAGTTTATTTGTAAATTTTTTACCGTCCACAGAATTCACAAACTACACTGACTAATTGGTAACTTTAGCTAAGCAGCCTTTTTGTGAAACATTACACGTGCATCAGACAAACATGTTTTTCAGAACTGTTCACTTCTGA